TCTGAGAGTTGTTTCTGTCCTGTTGTCACTCCATTTACCCTCTTCAGATGGAAGGATAAGGTTGAACTTCAGTTCATCCGAATTCCTCAGCTCTGTCATCAGTGCTGTGACACATTCTAATTTTCTGATTCATTTGTGATGAATGAGCTCTCCCTTTGCTATTCACAGTGCTAAAAGTAACCAGTTTTTTCTCCATTTTTTTTAATTGCACTGTTATTTTCTCTTAGCAAAGTTTGTCTCACTCTTTATCGGCCAGCATGAATTCCACAGGCAGAAAAGGCCTTGGACAGGACTAGCACTTAGGCTTGGAGCTAGTCGAGCGGAATGGGAGACTGACGGCCGGATTCTGTTTTTAACCCAGCCAGATACCTCAGCTGGCAAGTGGCTCAGCTTCCGCACCATAAAATGGGTATAATAATAGCTTTCCCTTACCACTGTGAAATATTTAGAATGCAAATCAAGCCAAACCTGCCTTCTTCCAAAGGCGAAGCTTGAACCAGCCTATGAAATCCTGAATGAGCCCAGATTTCAAGGGGAAACATAAAGTGGCAACCACCTAGAGGTAGTGTAATTTAGTGGTTAAAAATATGTAGACTTTGGAATGGTACAGCTTTATTCAGAACCCAGCAGCTGTGTGATTTGGGGTAAGTTTCCCAGTGTCTGAAATCTCCCTTTTTTTCTCTAGTGAATTGGAAGTAACAGTATTTACTTGCATAGTCAGGATTAAATGATAGACAGTTAATGCGGCTTTTCAAATTCTTCTACGTAGGTGATCTTCACGTTAGACTGAGTGACTCAGTAGTCAGGGTGCTGGGGACATTGCCTGAAGCAGTCTGCCACATATGAGATTTGTCAGTGAGGTCTCAGATTTTACCCTGAAAATACACACAGAGTTTTGCATTCTGTGTCTCAATAGAGTCTCGTTTGTTTCACTAAACTGGAAGTTCCACGAGGCCAAGAGCAGTATCTGTTTTATTTCTTCTATGACATTCAAGAAATAGTTATTGGATAAACGAATACATGTACAAATAAGGGTTTAAATTACTTAACCACAGGACACCTGCCCCACCAAATAGACAACCGTGTCTTCATTATTTATTTTGTGGCTTTTGTACTCAGTTCCACTGCTCCACCTCCCTGGGTATTCCCATAATCAAACCTGAGAGGCATTTACTTAGCAGGATGCCTGAAGCCACAGAAGGTACTCGGTTAGTAGTAATGCTATCATTTCTCTGCTCACTACTTCTCTGCCTCATTGTTCCTAAGGCTCTGTGAACTTTTTTTTTTAAGAAATTATAAAACACTAGGAAGGTCAGAGTATGGGAAGCCTTTAATGGAGTCTGTGTGTCTCTAATCATAGACACTCACCCAGGTATTTCTTATACACTTTGTTTACTCCTGGCTTCAGCTTATAGCAACTTGTTAAAACTTCCTAGAGGTGATGAGCAGTAGGATTGAAAGAGCTTTTTCTCCCTCTCCCCTTAGGCCAGGGGTTACTAACCTGGAATTCCTGGATGGCCATGGAGACCGGGAGCTCCTTGGAACTTGGTGTTT